GTAATTGGAACAGCCACCTTTGAACCATTTAAAGGTTTCACCTATGTAACAGAAAATTACGAACAAAGATAAAAACTAGTCAAGCATTCGTACCGGGGAAGGAGTGCTCCCTATGACGGCCTATACGAGTAGGCTCCACCCGAAAGGGGTACCTTGTTCACGCTTCAGGTATATTAAAGGTTAAGGGGTTCACAAGTTGAGGTGTATGAAAAGGTAAAGAATCTTTCTTTTAGGTATTCAAAAGGGACCTTAATTAAAATATTTCGAAGAGACGCACCTTACGGTAGTATCATTTAATTTATTAAGCACTACCTCGTTAACTTCATTACAAGGGTGCAATGTTCTCACGAGGGTAAGGGAACGGGGTACCTTTTTCAATAGCACTTACATGAAAGGCGTACCTTTTCTTGCTATAGGGTAAGGGGTTGGACCTCGAGGCGGAGCATCCACGTATAAAACTTTACAGAGTAGCCACCTCCCTACCCCACTGAATATAAGACATTCAATTAACCGTAGTAAACTTATTCATGTTTTTATTTGCCTAATTTCCTGACCAACGACGGGGATAACTCGACACCGTACCTTATAATCTCGAGGACATTAATTTAATATATAACGATTATACAGTACGCTTACGTATGCCAAAGTAGGATAACGGATTAAATGTTTTGTCCTTTGCAAGAAATAATAATACCTTCAAATAATAATGATAATAATAATAATAATGATAATAATAATAATAATAATAATAATAATGCAAAAAAATGCTTGAAAAAAATACTTCATGCTTACTTCCGTAGTCCCGTCGATCAAATTTTTAGAAAGCTCGTCGCTGAACCCCAATATTATGGCTTGTAAATAAGAAACAACGCCAGATCAAACAATTTTCATACAATATTAAAACGAGAAAAAACGGTTCGTTTCTAATAAGATCACACAACGCGGATGAAGCAAATCACGGGGCCAGTTCGATAAAACGTACGTGCGACCGAATCAAGATTAGTTCGAGTGGGTCGCCAGGGTTAAAAAAAAAAATGAAATGATAAAATAGAATGTTAAAAAAAGTGTAAAAATCCTTTGTGGGTATGCCGAAAATTCGCCATACATTTTCGGGCACAGGATAAGCAGGAACTCTGTTAAATCTATAACAATACACTTTTTAATTACTAAATGTCCGAGTTACATATTATACACCAATTAAATAAGTGATATTTTATGTCGGGTTCCAATGAACATACATTTTGTCTTGACAAAGTCACGGCTTAGACGATTGAGATCGTATAATCGAATTGTTAAAAAAAAAAAANACGCAGGTATAATGGCTGGTAACCGAGATCCAGTGAACCAATAAGAAAGCTAGAATTGCATTATCCGAGGTTGAGAATTTAATAATAAAGGTTAAGGGGTTCACAAGGTGAGGTGTATGAAAGGGTAGAGAATCTTTCTTTTAGGTATTCAAAAGGGGCCTTAATTAAAATATTTCGAAGAGACGCACCTTACGGTAGTATCATTTAATTTATTCAAGGGTGCAATGTTCTCACGAAGGTAAGGGAACGGGGTACCTTTTTCAATAGCACTTACATGAAAGGCGCACCTTTCTTGCTATGGGGTAAGGGGTTGGACCTCGAGGCGGAGCATCCACGTATAAAACTTTACAGAGTAGCCACCCCCCTACCCCGCTGAATATAAGACATTCAATTAACCGTAGTAAACTTATTCATGTTTTTATTTGCCTAATTTCCTGACCAACGACGGGGATAACTCGACACCGTACCTTATAATCTCGAGGACATTAATTTAATATATAGCGATTATACAGTACGCTTACGTATGGCAAAGTAGGATAACGGATTTTAAAAATGTTTTGTCCTTTGCAAGAAATAATAATACCTTCAAATAATAATGATAATAATAATAATAATGATGATAATAATAATAATAATAATAATGATAATAATAATAATACAAAAAAATACTTAAAAAAATACTTCATGCTTACTTCCGTAATCCCGTCGATCAAATTTTTAGAAAGCTCGTCGCTGAACCCCAATATTATGGCTTGTAAATAAGAAACAACGCCAGATCAAACAATTTTCATACAATATTAAAACGAGAAAAAACGGTTCGTTTCTAATAAGATCACACAACGCGGATGAAGCAAATCACGGGGCCAGTTCGATAAAACGTACGTGCGACCGAATCAAGATTAGTTCGAGTGGGTCGCCAGGGTTAAAAAAAAAAATGAAATGATAAAATAGAATGTTAAAAAAAGTGTAAAAATCCTTTGTGGGTATGCCGAAAATTCGCCATACATTTTCGGGCACAGGATAAGCAGGAACTCTGTTAAATCTATAACAATACACTTTTTAATTACTAAATGTCCGAGTTACATATTATACACCAATTAAATAAGTGATATTTTATGTCGGGTTCCAATGAACATACATTTTGTCTTGACAAAGTCACGGCTTAGACGATTGA